GGCATTTACCTTTTGTGAACTAAGTCATTTCTTGCTTCAACATACATATTCAAGTTAAGGTTGATCTAGGTGCAACTTTCTCAGTTTTAAATTTGTTAGGAAAATAGCCCTTTTCTTGAAGGACATTACACAGTGAGTTTCACCAATAGATCTTGTCTCCCAGTGAAGTCAATGCTTTGGCATTAGGGAAAAAAAAATCAAATTGATTTGGAATACAGGATCATGAATATCAGTGACTATAGAGCCCATTATTCCCTGTTCCAGGACTTTCTAATAGCATTCTCTTGAAAAATTCAAGTGCATATTATCTTTTGTTGTCCTTATTGTTTAAATGCAACATGAACTAGTTTTTCCAAAAATGTTAATTTCCTCTATAAACTTATCTTTTTTTTTTTTTTTTTAATTTCACTGAGCAGCTGTGTGAAGTGTGTCTATCATGGTCTGTTGGAGGCAAACTTTGCACCTTTTATTGTGACTTGTTCCCTAGCAGATCTGGGAACCATTCCTGAATAGTAGAGCTAAGCCCATTTGTGTTTCATAGTTAGGTTAGGTTAGGTTACAGTTAACTAAAGGGCAAAGAAAAGCCAGTAAGACAGTAAGAACACCAGTTTTAGTGATGTGGTAGGAAAACTAGGAGGGAAAGAATTTGCTTCTGGTTGCCTGCAAGATGTTTGTTGTGCCTTGGCTCCTGTGGGCCAAGTACTCTTCAGTACACCCTTGCTGTGCAGCAAGAGTTGAATGAGAGACTCATCACAGACTTCTCCCAGTATCACACATGTAGCTATATATATATTTCTGTGATATGTTTATTTTGACAATTCTTGAACTGCAATATATTGCATATTAATTGTGTACAACTGGTTTTGAATTGTCTTTAAAAAGGTGCAAATTATGGTTTCAAAGTGACCTGAGAGAGGTGCAAATGAACGTTAGCACAACATTTCAAAAACAGAATTATTTAAAATATATGCACATAGACATGAATTCAGAGTCGGTCTACTTCATTTTTTGGTTGGAGGTTTATTGCCTTAAAATGGGAAATAAATGTGTGAATTCTATCCAGGGTGTGAAATTCTCCATTTGTACAGACTGGAAACTTGGTAATAATTATGAATAGAGCAATAGCAGAAATTATACAAAAGTTTAGCAACATTTTAATTTTAAATGTAAGTATTCTGGGTAAGAGTTTAGAATCTGCTTGGAGACAATTTCCTACAGTCTTTGATATTAAAGAGTTAGTGCTTTTCAAAAAGCCTACAAATGCTAATGTTCTTATGGTTTTAAAATAGAAAACAGCATTGACTAATCTTTTCTATTTCTAAAGCTGCTCATTCAAAGTGTGTCTGAAGCTGATAAACCCATGAGCCCCAACTTAACCCAACCTAAACGAAACTTAACCTTTCTCTGTTCTCACATCAGTGGACAATGGGCCTCAGCTGCAGGGAGCTTTCGAGAAGCTTGCCCAATCTCCAGGCCAGCTGGAAGGCCAGGCTTCCCTACTTTCCAGCCAAATAGACGCTTGGCACCAAGTTACCCTAGGGCAGAGGTTTGAATGAAGCCTGGATTTTGAAGTATCTATCCCTCTAGGTTGATGTCACTGGGAGTCCAAGACCCCTCTTTCATTAACTGGCCTCTCACATAGATGGCAATGATGAGAAAAAACAGCCAACTGCTAAAACAGTTGGTTCTTTTTTATTATTTGCAATTTCATCTATTTGCATGAGAGCCTGGCAGCATATGGCCTGATGAATTAAAAAAAAACAAAACCCTGTAAACTCTCATCTACTAGCCAGAGCCTCCAGCTCATGGCATTAGCAGTAGCTAGTGTGCTCCACCTGCCACTTGTCTAGAGGGTGGGGGCATAAACTGATGACCTACTAGGTTTCCATAGCCAAAGAGTGCTCAGCTAATGCCGTGATTTAATTCCTAGCAGTACAGTCAGAAATGGCTAGAAGTGGCAACACCCATGGTTTCAATAGTAAATCTGATTGGCAAGCTACCTGCTCTCAGTCTTACCTAATATTCTACACTAATTATGCCCCATCAAGCCAGCAGGAATAGTGAGGGAACAGAAGTGCTTCTAATCTCTCACACACAGGCCAGTTATGAGTAGAAATGCATTGGGATGTACACTCTCATCATCATTCCATACTAACAGAGAATAACAGTCAATCTGGGAAAGAAGCAAATGTCTGTGCAGTTCATCTATTTGCTTAATTACTTTTTATATATATTTACTTTGAAATTACTTTTCAAAGTCAAATATATATCTGTATGTATATGTATATTCTAGATTTTTGTATTTCTGAATTAGCTATTTTCTTAAACCATCAACTTGGAGAAACAGAATTTATTTTATGCTGTCTTTTGAGAACTAAACCTTTCTTTGCCTTAAACATTTGGGTTAATACTTCATAAACTGAGCCATACATCTTTTTCCCCTTTCAAATTATGTGTTGTTAACAATGATTATATCTGTCAATAAATGATACAAACATGCAAACAGAAACAATGTACAGACTTCCATTAATTAAACAGATTGACATGAAAATTTAAAAAGTCATCTTGAAATTCAATCTCAGTGTGCTGATGAACACATTTTGATCTAGTTTAGAAATGGTTTTATTTTCTTGCTTTTTAAGATTGCTGAACACGTATATACCAATGACATGTAGTCAGCATTGCCAATGACCTCAGAAAGGAAGAAATTAATGGGGGAAGAAAGGGTTCTATGACCTTATCAAATGAGGGATTTTCCTGATAAGCCACAGAAGACACACCTAGCCTTGTGAGATTGGGCACGTTAGACAATTTATAATACTGAGCACAATACTTAGTAAATGCTAGGTATTATTATCTCACTAAATTCTTAAAATACTTCATAAGACAGATATGGGGATATTAAAAATATTTAATAGGTAGGACAAGGGCACTGACCAATCAGAATGTAGCATTGAAGGAGAATTTCAGAAGCCTCTCCAACTCTTGAGGGGTTACTGAATTTGATGAGGTCTGGAGGATCCTGATGTAGAATGGGACAAGGGGACTGGTGGAATTTGGGGAGCAGCTCTTTACGAATGTATGAAGTACTTCACTCTTCACTAGCCAGCATGGTAATACCTCCATGTGCTGGCTGAAAGCAATCCTGGAGCAAGCATTATTTTACAGATGAAGACCTTGTGGCTTAGGATAATTAACTTGTTTAAAACTCATCTGGTTACTAAGAGGTAGAGTCAGGATTTGAATCCATATCTGTCTCACTTCAAATGATCTCTTTTGTTTTATACCATGTCACTGCTATAATTTTTCCTTGATTTTTTTTTGCTCTGACAAGTTAAATCCATTTTTTTTCTTGCTGAGGTTGTCTCTCAATAGTGTGTAAAGACACCAGATAAACCATAGTGAGTGCGTCATAAAGGTTGACAGAGAACAGCAAAAACAAAAACAAAACAAAACAAAACCCAAACACCCTCTCTATTTCAAACTCAGTTGGGTCTTTGATATAGGTACATGTTTTTACATGTAATTTGTGGTTAATAAGTTTCCTGAATTAAAATAAGATCTTTATCATTATACTTCTATATAGAAAGATGCAGTTGCAGATATTTGTGCCATCTTTTTAGTTAAGATGCGATTGTAGGTGAGAGCAAGATATTAAACTGTTTTTTAAAAAATGCATTATTATTTGTTTTCAGCTGGTATAATTTAGTTTAACTGATAAGTGAGCAAGTTTTACTTAAATTCAAAATGTATAACTAAAGCTTAAACTTTGAAGAACACTTCAAGGTTTAAAGTTTTCATGTAAAGAAATGATATTTTATTAAGAGCTGTTCCATGGTTGATTTCTTCCTAAGGAAATAAAGAGAGTTTACAAAGAAATTGCAAAGTGATGATAATCAAATTCTCTTCCTTCTTATGGGATCAACCAAAATAAGACTATAGGTACACTAAAATGTATGACCACATTCTATTTAGACACACAAGTTCAAGAAAACTGATTTGACTAGGTAAAATGTAGATGCAAATAGTCTCTAGTGTATGAACAGATATAATTTCAAATGTTTATTTATAATTCAATATTTTCAAACTTTGTATGTAAATTTCCAATCTAATGAACTGAAATGGGAACAGGTTTGTCCTAATTTTGACTAGGTAAAATTTATTTCACCTATAATGTACCTTAAGTATAGAACTAATTATGTTTTCGGTCATATTCTCCTCATATATTGTTCATAAGGGAATAACATGAATTTTCTGTAACAGACTTGCACTCAGACTTCTAGTTCTGACACAAAACCAACCCAGAAAACCATAGTCTATGTCACATCCTCCCATATTTTATCAGGAATAAATCAAGTTCGTTAAACAAGAGACTAAAGGGTAAAGTTATTTGTTTAGATTTTCAGTGTGGTTCTAGGAAAATAAAAGCACAGGTGCTCCAAATTTAGCACATTGTAGCACATCAAATTTAAGAATTGGAGGAGCTTTAGGAATTATATTGGAGGAGCTTTAGGAATTATAAGCTCAACATGTCTTTTTAATCTGAATAAGCCAAATGACAATTCTTTCTTCTTCTTCATTTAGTTCATAAACACATGTTAGAGCCAAAAAATGTCCACACTTATTTCTGGCACATTTTCCTTGTTGGTATGGCAGATGCTAGCTATATAGCAAGAACCACAGCATATTTGAAGGGACCCTACCAAGAAATACTCATATTACACTACAGCCCTTTTAATGAAGAATCCATTCTGTTACCAGGGGTGCAAATAATGGTTCCCAGACAATAAATATATCTTAAAGAAGGCTTGCTTTTTTTTTTCTTCAAAATGCAGTCTGTTATAAAAGGCTTTTATAAAAGATTTTTTAAGTTGAAAACATATTAAAAAAAAAAAGCAGAACTCTAAAGAAAATTCAGCGGTCAGAATGCTTCACTACTCAGTGCGTAGGTATAATGAAACACTTAGCTTCCTGATGTTACCCTGGTGTTGACTTCTCAGTTTTAGTGTTCACCGGAGGACCTGGACTTGATGTCTGAAGTTGCCTGCTCCACAGGAAACCACCTCCCTCTGCTGCTTGCTTTCTCTTGAGCCAACACCCAAAGCCACTATCAGTGTCATGGGGATGAGACTTTTCAAGGTAAGTGAAAAGAAAACAGGAACAAATGTATTTTCACACACAGAATTTGCTGAAGGCCTTGGCTCATAGTAGGAAGTCCTGCCTCACAGGGATCCCTGTTTGGGGTGTGGAGGGACATACAGTCCTGGTTTATGTGGAATCATATATGGTGTGAGTGAAATGAGACAGATCCCCGTTCCCAAGTGCCCTATCTAAGATGGAAGCGGGTTATGTTGTCTAGACTAGAGGAAATGCTTTTTTTTTTTTTTTTTTTTTTTTAGGGAAGGTTATCTGAATTTTAAAAGCCAAATGATTGCTGGAAAAAGAGAATAACTAACATTTTATTGACTGCTTGGCTTTTAAAAGGCGTTTCTCCTCTTTCTTTTTGTTTAATTAAAAAAGTCTCCTTTTAACCCCAAGATGCAATTAAAACTTAATTTGTGCCTTATTACCTAGCAGGTATCCGTTGGCTTTTATTTATTATTTTCTCCATTAGGAGTTTTAAACTTGAGGTGGAATTAATATCTCTTCTATGATCTTTTATAGTCTTCTTTTTCACATATATGAGTGTTTCATAATCCTCTAAAAATACCATAAGTTTTAATGTAATATGGGTTTTTACTATATTGTAAATATTAGATTATTAAGAGTTCCTTAACCCCTTTTCATGAGAAGGCAACACAGACTTGAATAGATATTTGTGGTTCTTATTCTTCAAGGATTTGCCTCCCCTTTTGTGCTTTTTTCTAGGCTGTTCCCACTTTCTTCTTCTTCTTCCCTGGCAGAAGGTAAAAACATCAGTTTAAGATGATGAAACCAGAAGTTTTTGAGAAAAGTTTGTACAACAATGACAAAGGCAAGCTCCTTTTACTTTATTTTTTTACCCGTTTATACATATTTATTAACTTAAGTTGCTTTATCACAATGATACTTGAAAGCCAACAATAGAAACCATCTTACAATTTTGAGTTGTGATCTTTTCCCTGGCTAGTGATATGTGGTACCATGCTCTCATGATGCTGAGCAGAGGAAGTGAGCTGCACTCCCAGGCAGCTGTGCACGGAGAGGATAAACAACTGTCATCTGCAGTTGATTGCTAAGCTATGGTATTTGGTAGGTTAGGGATACCAAGTACATTTTGAATATATGAATAAATATGTGGGTTTACCAAGAAATAACCTCATTGCAAGCCAAGGAGCATCTGTATTTATAAGATCATTTCCTTCCAACCTAAGAGAATTCTAGCTCATGTTGATACCTAAGTTTTAGCAACTTATCCTATCCAATGCTTTGTGTTGACATAGCCACTCTGACGTCTTCAGTTCTATCCTCGGCAACTATTATTCAAGAGCCCATTGGATCTGAGATTACACCAGAATTTCATCTTTTCTCAGCCTGAGATACTTTTTCACTGTGAAACTCTTACCCACTGGCAGATCTAATTTCCAGATCTCTTTGGGTTTGACAGATAAGATAAACTAACAAGAATATTTTGCATTTGTATAGCCTTCATATACAAATATTTTATTCTCATAGGCCGATTTCAAGTTATGAGTAGATTTTGAAAAGCAAACTCAAATGACTGACAAATAACTGTTAGGACTCTGGACCAGCCTATCTATGTTCTTGGACTGCCCATGATCATTGATTGCTTATAGAAGTGTGATTGCAGTAGTCTTGGGGGAGACAAATCTGACAGTGTCTGTGAATATTTACTGTGACATTTTCTAAAGTTCCTTCCAAGCCTTGTATCACCTGGATCCTGGCCAGAGTGTCTGTCTGACATCCTGGCTTGCTTCTCGATCACTGTGCACCACCCATGATTGGCTGTCCCCATGGGTTCTCAATCACGTTTGCTCTGTTCTTGGAACCTTGACACTGGCTACTCTTTCTGCCTGGATTTCTCTTAACACTCCTAATGGTCTACTCCTGCAAGTTGTTCAGATTCCTGATCAAATGTCTTCTCAAAGAGGTCTTCCTTGATCACCCCATCCAAAGTATAAAGTAAATTCCCTATGCCTTTCTATTTCCTTATTTAGCCTCATAAAAATATAACATTATGTTACATATTAAACTACTGCCTTTCTCCACCATTAGAATGGATATTCTGTGAGAGTAAGAACTCCTTTTTTGCCCCCCTGCTCTATTCCTAGATTTGAATAGTACATAGAGGGCTTTAAATGAAAACCTACTGCATGAATGAATTGTTTGTTGTAGCAAATGAACAAAAATATAAGCAAAAAGAATACCCATTGGCAGGAGAATGGTTGGATGAATTGTGCTCTATTGATAACATGCAATATTACACAGTTACCGAGAAGAATGCATTAGAAATGTATTGGGAGATTTACAAAAATTATTATTAAGGAAGAAGTGCAGACATAATAGAGTGTATATAATTAAACTATGACTAATTATCTACCTTCTAGTTATCTATCTTTTTATGTATCTGTTTACACTTGACTACATGAAAATAGGTTTTGGTGGTTACGCACTCGTTTGTAGGCATTGCTATGTAGGGAAAATTGTGCCGGGCGATTGTTGAGCAGGATTTGGATAAGGGAATCAGAGGGCTAAAGGTTGGCTGAAAGTGGATAGCTAGATAAACTTTCTTTATAACAACTTCATTCAAATTTTTCTTCACTCCTGAGAGTGACAATCTCTGACTCCTAGTAACTGACTGATTTGGCCCTCACTAATTTCTCTCCTTTGAAGTTCCATGTTGATGCTCCAGCAGGCTGAAGCACAGGTTCCAGACAGTATACTTAAGCCTTGTCTTGACTACCACTTGCAATCTCTTTGCATTCTAAAATTTATTTGTCTTTTACTGATTGATGTACTTTACTTTTGTTTGTCATGCAATTGAGTTCCTGATGTTCTTTGCCTTTCATTTTTTAGAGGGTTCTGCAGAAAGACTACGAAACTGATCCTAGAAAATGTAGGCTTTTGTAGTTTACTAGGGCCCATAAAATCCCTAAACCAGAAGTGTGCCTGGGAGGACAACAACACTAAGTCTGTGGTAACATGCTCCACATGTATAAAGGGAGGTCAACAAGGCCCCCTGATAGGCAGTTTGGGAAGCATTATTGTTAGAAAGAGTAAACATTCTGAAAATAAAATGGTATTGTCTCAAAAGCATAAGAAGGCAGAGGCAAAGTAATATGGTTTGAATAATTCATAATACAGTTAATGCCCCCAAACCCACATTTTAGGGTAAGAATGAGTTAATTCATTTTATCATAGCTTTCAGTCACAAAAATTTTCATATTCACTAGTATTGGTTAGTTTTCCATCAGCTCTAAGGACAGAGTTGTGTACCTTTTCCACTGTCATTGGATGGTAATTTTCAGGCATCTGTCTACACTTTAAATGAAATAATTTAGAAATACTGGTTCTAAACTTAAGCTTCCTGAAAGCAAGGAAAAAATCCCATAGTGATTTAAATTTGAGAAAATACAGTGGTTTTGCAACAATATGTTTGCTATTTCTATCTTTACAGTGTTTTTTTTCTTATTACTATTTTAAAGAGGAATGGTACAACTTGAGAAGAATACTAAAAAGTATTCTAGTGCAATAAGAAACTGGACCAATCCATAATGTCATAAGCCATTGTGGACATTATAAAATTAGTTTGAAAATAATGTTTTCTAAGAGAAGAAAAAGATATCTAAACCTTAAAGTGGAGGAAAAAATCCTAAGAAACTATTTTTCTGAGATTTAGACTTTGAATGATTTTTCACATCAACATATTTATAAAACCAAATTCTTTCCTTTTCTCATAAGTACATATGTAATTGAAGAAGAGAAATCGGGGACAGTGATAGATTAATGCAGTGTAAGAATTCTGAATTTCTAACACACGTGCTTAATAAGCACCAAATGGCAAAAAATCATAATGGTTTGTAATTGTTTTCTTTCATGATGCACTCTGGATTTTGACATTCACTTACTTAGGGCAGAAGCCTTTTAATTATGTGAACTGGCAGAGCTCAAAAGAAACACGTAAATAAAGAATTGCAAATACCCTTTACAATATTCTTTTTTAAAAGCAGGATGGAAAGAAATAAGCAGTATATAGAGGATATGTCAGCTTCATGAATGACCTTTCACTATCTGTTGCTTCATGTTAGATCCTCTGCATGATGGCTGCTTGTGTGTGTGTGTGTGTGTGTATGTGTGTGTGTGTGTGTGTGTGTGTGTTCAGCACTATCATTTTCAAAATTAGACTTCTTGAATCAGGAAAACATGCTAAAAGCTCACATTTTAGAATTGCGGGGAAAGTTTGCACCAGTCAATGAGTTGAGAAGCTTACTTTCATTATTAATATGCAACAGTAATTCCAGTTGTGTTCTGATAAAAGTCAATATAGATATTAGTCATCAGCTCCACAACTCTTGATGAGACAGGTTTCTACAGAAAAAAGTATGCCCATAAGTATAGATATTAGACATGACCTGAGTAACTAAAGTCAATATAGATATTAGACATCAACTTTGTAACTTTTGACAAGATAGGCTTCTACACAGAAGACTCTGGTACTCTAGGGTTTTACTTAACTTTAAAATCTAACATCTTTACCCTTTTTAAAACAAACATTTTGAAACTTAAAACATAATTAAATAGTGTGCTCCAATCTTATTAGTAGAGAAAATTAGTAGTAGAAAATATATTGACTGATTGAAAAGGCCTTTCATTCTGGACACTGAGGGTCACCTCTGGCAAATGTTAGTTACAGTAATTGAAATGAAGATCTTAGCCAGCTGTTCCCTGTACCCTATTATAAATGTGCCTTCCAAGCAGTATGCTCAGAGGCTTACTGATAGACAGCTATGGAACGTAGTGCTCCTTCTAAAGGTCTTCACCTACCAACTTTATACTCATAATTGCTCCATGAAAATTTATAATTTTCTTTGCTTGTTAAAATTACATGAATATAATTCATTTTTAGTAAAGTTTCACCAGATAATACTAAATAGAATGGCTTTCTTTTTTAACTGTACATATTTACTGTTGTTATCTGCTACTTTATGAATCTAAGAACACACCAAGAGATGAATAATTATAAAAATAATCTTGCTTACAGACCTTGCAAAATGTTTTCAGATATAAAAATTATCACAAAACTAAAAACAGTATGTTACTAGAAGCAGAATTAACAATATGCAAGTGTTTTTACACATGAATATGGAAATTTTAAGCATATTAAAATTCTTAACTTGAAATCTATTATGTATAGTAAAACTTTTAATATTTTATTTTATGACACACATGTATTTTAATATTTTATTTTATGATGCACATGTATTATATTGATTTAATGTTAACTTCTATACTATCTCTTAATCCCTTTCATACTATCTTTTAATCCCATTATCCTTTGTGTTCTCCCTATCTCTCTTTCTCTCTTTCTCTCTCTCTCTCTCTTTCCTTGAACACACATTTTTTTTTTCTTTTCCAAATGCAAATATGGGCTATTTTGATAAAAAATTAAAATTTGATATACATATAAAACTTAAGATTATGACTCCCATAAGCATTAACATTTTATTTAAAAAATACAAAGAAAGTATTCTTAAGACATTTAAAAAATTTTTTTAAAAATTGATTATATAAGCTAATCAATGATTACATGACATATGGGTATGAAGTAGTAAACACATTTATTACAAACTATGATTTATATGAAAAATTTGGTCAGTGAATACTCATTTTAAAAAATTAAGAGAAATTTAGTTTCTTTGTGACAATATGACAAATTCTTCTATTAGTGGCATTTATGTGAATAAAGCCATTCCAAATTCTCTGGGTTCCTTAACCACTAACATGAACCTCACTGTAGTTACATCTTGGACCTTGTCCATGGAAGTTTAAAGCTCAAAGTATCAGCACTTTAAATTGGTTTCATCTATAATGGTGAAGTATCACA